TTCTACCAAAATCACTTCAAACATCTCCTAACACTTCCTTTACGATAACTACATTAATCTGTTTAAGGTGTAAAGGCTTTTGCGTCAAGGATTTTTTTTTGTATTGCATTTGCTTAATTTTTGTGAATTTTGTTTAAGCAGCTTTTCTTTCTTTTTTTATTATGTTTTCTGGCCAAACTGATTTTGTTGTATATACAGCCCAAAATGTCCTTCCAGTCTGGGGATTCGAACCATCCATTATTTGTGTTGTCCCTCGGAGATGGGGGCTGTCCTCTTTAGGCTAACAAAATCTCTCAAAACATGAAGACTCACAAAGATAATAAAGGACATTAAATGAAAATAAAAATATTGTACCTTTGTGTATGTTTCTTTCTTAAAGCAGCAAACAGAAATCTATGGCCCCATTTTAAACACTATTGTAATTGTTATTTTAATGGAAATAAGCCTTGGTACCTTTCTAACTTTACCAAACTTCAGTTTTTTTTCCCCATTTAAAAAAACCCTCTATACTTACAACACAACTGTTATCTCGATTGGGACATTCCGGCTATGACTTCATTTCTGAACAACAGCCTGTAGGAAGAGCTGTTGTCTTTGAGACAGAAGGTGATGGCTTCAATCCAGGTTGATTTATCCCAGTGTGTATTGTGCTGCTTGTTAAAGGTCACATTGTATGCAAAATCCACTTGTTCATGTCTTGTATACATCAGCATGTGTCCCCTCCCCTCTGTGTAAAGAGACTCTGAAAGTTTCAGGAAAAAAAGATTCTCTCTTTTTGTCCTGATCCATTTATATAAAAATCTGTCTGAAAATGAGCTGATCAGATTTTGGCCAGTTTGTGATGTCATAACGATTTTTTGGCTTGTGTGACCATTAGCCAATCACCAACCAAGGTAACCCCCTCCCACAGTTTATCACCTGAATCTCCTCCTAGAGCACCGTTGTGTTCTTTTTAAGCAAATATCTCTCAGACGGGCGTGGGGAGTGGCTCCTTATTTTCATCTAAACATTAACAGACAGAGAATCAGCACTTTGGAAACAGGGCTGAAACAGAGGGGATTATGGGATGCTGCAATGATCTGTTTGGTATTTCGAGCAAAACACTTCAGAGACCTGTTTTGTATATATCTGAGACCTATAATATATTGATGAAAAACTGTATAATGGGGGACCTTTAAATGTGTGCATTATCTCACTTGAGAAGAGCTTCAAAATCAAAAACCTCTAATCTGTTTGAGAGAGAAACAGAGACTGTGTTGTTTCTCCTTGCACTGTGTAGAACTTGACGGAAAGCTTCCAAATGAAAGGGGGACTGTAGTAAAAACAAGTATTTGGCGTAGTCGTTTCTAAAGTAATCGATTTGGTCAACAAACAAAACAGTAAAATAAAAAAATGACATTCCTCAATCCTAATTATTTCTTTAAACCTCTACAAACAGTCCAATCCCAAACAAAACATACAATGATGCTGTAACTGAACACACAATCATATCCACCCATTAAGTCTTTTTTCAACTATTTTTATTGTTCACAGATTGCAGAAACAATTTACTTGTATATTGACATCTTAGTTATGTTGGAAGTCACTGGTGCTTTTGATATAATTATATCAACCTATTTTTCACGTGCACATAACAGTTGTGTCTGTCCCCATACATCTTTATCTGTCCTTGCCCTTAGCTGTTTGTTATGTGTTTATTTAAATAGGAGACGTTGTGACTATCACTGACAAGGCTGAATTACCAGCTGGACAACAATAAGCTTCAGATCCCATGGAGCAAAAGACAAATATTCATTGCACTCAATTGGATTCATTCAATGATTTGAGGTAATTTGTGGTGGAAATGCGCAACACTGATATGCAATATCAATTTCAGCTGGCATTATTAGATCATCTATGGCTATGTCTTGAAGAGAGGTTTTATATTTTGTTCACATAACACATTTCTCTAGTAAAGATGTAATTTATGAGCTTCAAATCTCAGGTTTTATACATACAAGGCATACTGGTTATTCTTAATGGATTTTTATAAGATATTGGGTTTATTTGAATTCTCAGCTTAAATTAAAACTCATCGAGGTGGAACACAATAATCTATTGGTGTCCTATGTGGCGAATACAAAATATTGTTGGTTAGAAAAAGCGTTGTGCTTCATAGTGAATTACCAGATCTCTCAGGCCGTCTGCAGGAGCACTTACCATCAGAGCTACTCAACATTTAACATGGAGAAGAAGCATTCAGTTTTTATGCACCACCCATTTTGTGCATCATCAAAAGGATTATTTTCTGCAGGAAGAGGCCGAGAAAGAGGTTAACCTTTACTCTGCCACTAAGCATGACAGCTCCTGATTTAATTCATGAATTGCAGTTGGAAAGCAAAATACCATAACTAATCTTAATGGATGACATATAAAAAGTAGGATATAGGAGTTCCTTGTTCAATGGTTTTCAACTTTACTGAAACATGTTAAAATGATCCCATTAGGAAAATATTTATAAAAAATATGTATATTTGAAAAGGACATTTAATGGGATTACGGTTTTTCTATAGTTAGGTTACTTTTATGAAAAATGTTGCCGTGCAAATCCATAAAATAAAATACAAAATCTGCCACCAGAGGACCATATCAGTTCAAGTGCAGCACACTATGCTTCCAAGTGATCCAGCCGGTATAAAATGGCCGATGATTTGAAAATGCATGACTTTACAGGCAATACGCCCTCCTGGTGGACACCATGTGAAATCATTTCTAACTTTACAAAAGCATATTTCATTTAAGTTAAGCCTATACAGTGCTACCACAAGGCTAACTTACATTGATTATTGAGTAGCCCACACAATTAAGACTGCAAGAGTAAATGAGTTTCAAAACATTAAAAACTTTAATAAAAGCAGAATCAAACATAGGGTGAACTGAACACATGGATTTCAAAACAGTTTTAATCTAAACAAAAGCCTGTAATGGGACGGGTGGAAAAAAGTAATTTATACACATAACAATCCGTGACATTTCTCCCAAAAATACTTTGTCACGAGTGTTTAAGATAAAAAAAACCCAAGCAATGGAGTCCCCATGCTGCCGACACTGCCATCAACATTACCTAAAACCCTGAGTTCATGATGCAAAAATAACAGACACGTGTGGCTGGTTACATACAAACTCAATTCTGAGTTGAGAAGCAGTGACTGACATTGAATACGGCTTTACAAATGGTTCAAATCAAGTCTTTCCCCAAAAACATAACAAAAAGTACAGTTCAACAATTCACAATTCTTAGTAGTAAAGTCCATTATGTGTGGAATAAGAGGGACAGATGGGGTCCGGGTGGGGGGATCCAGAGGACAGTGTCATTCATTCCTGTGGGGGGTGATGGGTACTGCTCGCTTAAAGGATCTCAACAAGACCCCCTCACCCAGTGTGTGTGCATGTAAATTCAAGTTCGCTGTAATCTGAAATTTCCCCATGATCACAAAACTTGTGGGGGGCTTTAATAGCCGGCGTATCCACCACCACCTCCACCTCCTGCCCCCCGGCCGTAGCCTCCTCCGCCGGTGCCTCTGTTGTACGGAGCCGGGCTCCTGTAGGAATAGTTGACCGCCTTCACTGCACCATAACTTGAGTGCTGCTGTCCATAGCCATCGCCAAAGTCACCATTGCTGTACCCACCCCCCATCTGCTGCTGGTCGTATCCTGCCTCCTCGTATCCTCCACCATACCCTCCATATCCCCCACCGCCACCTCCGTTGTAACCGCCACCATAGCCGCCACCGCCGTAACCTCCCTCGTAGTTGCTGCCGTAGCCGCCGCCTTCGTAGCCTCCACCTCCTCCTCTTCCGCCGCCATAGGGCTGCATCCCCCGGCCTCGGCCTCTCCCGCGGCTCCCTGTGGACATTTCCTGCTTGGTGAGAGCTTTCTTCACCTCCACCTTGTTTCCGCTGATGGTGTGGAACTTGGTCAGCACAGCTTTAGTGGCGGAGTCGGTGTCGTCAAAGTAGACAAAGCCGAATCCCCGCTTCCTGCCGGTCTGCTTGTCGGATATGATCTCGGCCTTCTCCACCACGCCGAACTGCGAGAAGTACTCGGTGAGGTGGTCCGCCTCGATGTGGTCTTTCACACCGCCAACAAAGATCTTCTTCACGTTGGCGAGGATATCTGGGTTGTTTGCATCCTCTCGGGCTATGGCTCTTTTCAAATCCACCTCATGGCCTTCGACGACATGTGGCTTAGCCGCCATTGCTGCGTCGGCCTCCTCCGGTGTCGAGTAGGTGATGAAGCCGAAGCAGCGGGACCGGCCGATCTGCGGGTTCATCACCACCACGCAGTCAGTCAAAGCGCCGAACTGCTCGAAATACGTGCGGACCCCATCCTCCGTGGTCTCCACATTCAGTCCCCCGACAAAAAGCTTGCAAAGTTTAGCCGTCATGACTGAATTTCTTGTGAGGATGGTGTTGTGAAAGACCGTCCCTCTTCTTCTTCAATGAAACAACGTAAGGGCGGGCCGTCTTACTCACTCGCCTCCGTAAGACGTATCCGTCGCTGATTGGTTATCTCGAACAAATCACCGCTCTCATTGGCTGACAGGGCCAAACGCGTCGATGCTGCCTTCAGGTGGTGTGGGAAGTCTTAGGTTTGAATTGCTGGGGAGAGAAGGAAGCGGGGATTTCAACCTTTGTGGTAATTCAATGTCTACAGTTGCAAAGCACATTAATAAAGATGTTTCCCTATTATTTAATCTAATTTACAAATTAAGAAAGAAACACCCTACATAGCATTGATATAACGATCATGCATTTTTATCATTCTTTAAATAACGATCTTACTTACAAATAAGAAACAATGTAATATTTTCACAAATTCATTAATAATTAAATGCAATTTGAAGCGTATCCAAACAACATTTATAGTATATATGGGTTAAATAAAGTTAACTTATCAATGCTTGACATCTCAGAATTGTAGGTAGTGAGATGCTGTAATTTCCTTTTCGACCAACAGTTACATTAGTTTTGAGAAGGCAAGCCTGTCTTATTTAAATATTTTGATATCACACATTTGCCTCAAGGGGCTTTACAGCTTGTACAGCTTAATACAACACTCTCTTTACCTTAATTAGGAAAAATCAAGCCTTAACCTTGACAGGGGGGGAAAATAGAAGACACCTCAGAAAGAGCTCGGTGGAGGGAAGGGCAATGGAAAAGTTCACAGTGCCCTCACGTAACTTCCTCTTGCCACTTATTATTTATCCTACAGGGGGAACCAGTCACACTGGTCTAGATCCAACAGTAAAATATAATCAAGGGATCAACAACGCACTGATCAAAATAACACATTAAAGTTGTTTTTAGCGCTGACCCGCTTGGGTTATTTTTTGCCTTGGTGTACAGTTTAGGATAGCTGAAGTCAGTCTTTTTACGGAGAGTGAAACTTCTCAACCCCCTCCCCCCATGCTGCTGGAAAAAGTAAATGAAGAGTTTCTTCAAAGTAGTTTAAAAGAATTTGAATACATGCTGCAGCAAGCCTGTTTTCAGCAATAGCTGCAACAGTTCTCCCTGCAGTTTTTGCCATATAACTTCCAACTTTCAAAAAACCCATATGCTTTTATCTTATTTGTTTCAAATGTATTTAAAAATGAGAGCCAGAGGTGGGAGGAGTACTCAGAACTTGTGCTTGAGTAAACGTAGAAGTACAAGTGCAGGAGGAATACTCTGTTACAAGTAAAGGTCCCGCATTCAAAATGTTACTCAAGTAAAAGTAAAAAGTACCTAAATATACTTAAAGTACCAAAAGAAACTCACTAAGCCGATTGGCGCATTTCAGAATATGATAATACTGATTATTGATTAATGAAAGTGTTATCAAAGCAGGTAAATGTGCGGCTAGTTTTAGATTCCTTTGTACGCTGCAGAGAAGCTCGTGAATTTACTCCAGGTGTGTCATTTAAGTGTTCTATATTACACCTCATTAATCCAAATCTGCAAAGTAACTAAATATATTAAATAAATGTAGTGGAGTAAAACTACACAATTTAGTGTGCTTTTAGTGAAGTAGATGCACAACGTAGCATACAATGGAAATACTCAAGTTAAGTACAAGTATCTCAAAGTTGCACTTAAGTACAGTAGTTGACTAAATGTACTAAGTTATGTCCCACCTCTGATTACAGCTATGCTCAGTTTCTTATCTTTGATGTAAATGATTAGCAATTTGAACTATCCAAACATACAAGGTACTATGTGTAGATTGACTTCCTATAGGCTCTGGAGAGGGGGTTTTAACCCTTTGATAAACAACATGGGTCGGAAGTGAGTTTGAATTGTAAATAGCTTTGCAATAAATTACTTCAATCATTCAGGATTCCAGGTATTAATAACAATGTTATTTTTATTTTTCCTTTCTTACTTTTTGAATAACAATAATGTATGTATCACTACCCTCCTTCTAAGGAGTTTTATATTTCTACACCTGGGTCCGAAATGACCCGTATTAGTTTCCTATTAGTAGGTTATTAATTGCATGCTGAGTGTTTATTTGCTATATCTTTTAAAACCTATATATTTGGTCATTAATATTCAAAGTATTCATTAAATATCTTGTCTTTGATTACAACAAATAATTATTTTCATTCTCCCTTTCTTTAATTTATAAACTGAAATAGTTTTTTATTTTTACATCAGGTTTACACACATTGGTCAAAAATTAACCATGTATGCCAAGTGTGATAACATAATTAAAAGACATACTATAATAATACTTTTGTATTTATGTTTGCAGTTAGGAACATGTTTATGGTGGACAACACTCACATGCATCACCTCAACAGGCTGCTTTTGCACATGTGATTAACTTATGTCTCATTTTACTTAGGAACACATGTTGTGAAAGATAACTGTACATAATATATGAACATTACTTGACCCTCCAAATCGAAGGACATGCATAACTCAGAATTTTGATTCAGTGGCAACATGAGCTGTGCCAAAGGTGGGGTTAGGCTGTTGTCCTCTTGAGCACCATGCATGATGACAGTGGAGGACAACAGTGTGAAGGAGAAACCCAAAGTATTTTTTACATTTTTATCACACGTCATTTTCGACCCATGTGTGTAAACTTGATGTGATAACACTGTAAATATTTTAGTTCATAAATTAAGAAAGGGAGAATGCATATAATGATTTATAACAAGATATTGAATGAAGACTAGGAATACAAAACTATTAAATATATTGATCTCCAAAAATATAGCAAAAGAAACACTCGTCAATACGGGTCATTGTTGGCCTGTGTTGTGCCTCAAAGGCGGCTTGCATAGCTTGCATAGCTTGCAAAGGGTGAAGTTCGTATAGGTTATGTTTGTCCTGTGCAAATGCACTTGATACCCAATCCTGCCAATGATGACACACTACTCCACTGACCTTCAGGTGAGCCAATGGGGCAAACTGGTAAACATGGATAAAAACAAATGCAGGGTTTAGTCTACTTTTGCTTGTAATTACCCCTAAATAAATGGGTTGGACCTTAAGGGTACACACAATGCCACTTGGTGACCAACCCTGTATGTGGAATTTCTAGTGTTTATTAACATGAAAAATCATTTTAAATAGCAAAAATATATTTGTGGAAATATGCATATTAAAGCTGCTGTTAAAAAACACAACTGATGTGATATTGTTTTGATTCTCAAAAAACTTTTAGTTTATGTGTGCAACACTTTTGCACTTCTTATTCGTTTATTTGTCTATAAAGTTGCATGTGACATTGCCACTCAGTTTTATAGCTTTACCCAAGGTGTTTGCAAAATAAAAAGTTCTTATCTGAAATCAGATTTATACAGACTGTGATAAACACTAATCCCATTGTTCCGGTTGATCTAAAAAAGTATTTACGATGAAAGTTTAAAAAATTAAATAAACCCCCTGTATCACGATTCATAACATGGCCAGATTCTTGGACAGCCCTAACATGGATCTGACACACAAAAAGTATCTTTATAAATCCTTTGTCACTCAAAAAGCGAGAACTGTGAAGCTGAGTGTGTCACTTATACCAGCACCGAAAATGTTCAGCATTGAATAGGTAATCCAAATCCTGTCTGAATGTAAGTTGAGTATAACGACCAACCAGATTGTTGGCCTCGTCTGCTGATTTTGAACCTTGTTGACTGGGATCACGCAGGGACATGCAACCAAATTATCCTGGATGTAAATAAGTAACATAACAAGTGGTGTATAAAAATATATAATTTATTGTAGAATCATAAAAAGCACGGCTGACATAACAGATGGTTCCTCTCCTATGGGATGATCAGAAATCCTTAACCACCATTATCCTATAAAAGAACAAAAGTAAAATGTACATTCCCACTATAACATAGGATTAATCACGCATTTAAACCAACAAGTTATGGTGACACTAGACTCCCTGAATCGCCACAGTACATCAGACAAGACCCTTTCCTCCAATGTTGACTGAGGAATTACGTCTGTAATTACCTCTTATGTTAATTACGTTAATTGTTCGATTAAGTTCATCCAGCTAAGTCTTAAACTGTCAGTTTAATGTTCCGACTTCAGCTGTTGGAGTTAAATCAAAGACTTTGTCAGATGTATTGTTTGTTCATCAAGAGATTATTGTTGAGCTCTTATGCTTACTTGAGCTTATTTTCCAAAGTCTAATTTCTGTCTTCATGTGTGAGGGCACTTCAAATATGAATCTTTCCAGTAAAATTCAGATAAAACCATTTAAAACTCACGCATTACCAACCATAACAAGAATTGTCTTCAAACGCTGAAGTGCATTGTAATTAAGGAAAATTCACCATCCTCTGAACAGAACCGTACAGTATTAATATCAGATGTGAACTATCATTTTCATTATTTACTGCTCAAACCACTTCAGGCACTAGACCTTCAGAAAGGGTATATGTTTATCAATTTGAAAAATGTGAACCCTAATGAGGTTGAGCAATGAGCCTAACATAACCCAGTTTATGATAGTTGTCCAACAGCCCAAACAGGAAGTTCTTGTAAAATATACGTCCCGTATCTTGCAGAACATGGCCTCTACTTCCTGATTACGCAAGAAACACGTGGGGCTGTTCACGCATGTGGCTTTTGATCACCTCATTTTCAAGCTTTCAAGGAATTTTGGCACAATGACACTTAATTTGTACCAGATGTAATAACAAAAAACGTTTTAACTTATTGAAAACACAAGACAAACTATTAATCAATAAAAGTTTTATTTTTGAAATCCACAGTACCCAAGTGCAAATGGTCTCTTCCTGGTCAGCATTAACTCGTGTAAGCAGTCCTAAAATAAATCTGAGAAGTCATAATGAATAGAAGAAAATATATTTTTTGAAACTTATTTATTGCAGCACATAAAGTATTCACATCCTAAAAAAAAAAGAGATTAAAATCTGGAATAAAATCGCATTTGCTCGTTGTTGGGAAATAACGCTTACACTGCACCGGGGCACTGTGGTATCAAATGTCTCCCAAACATAATGCACCAAATAGTCAATAAAACCGTTCAGAATAAAAACCCATGGTCAGACTCCTATGCATTTAGACCACATTGAGGAATCCTTTGTGAAAACTGACATCACCTGAGGGGGAAAGGGCACAAGCGCTCTCCAGTTGCCCGTCGGCGGGGAGACACACACCCCAAGTGTTTTTCGGGGTGACGCCTCATGCCCAGGTTACCGTAGCAACCTGGAGAAGATGGGAGAGAAAGAGAGTGAGATACTGGGCTTTGCAGAGTTTTCTGGAAGAGACACCAATGTACTTGTTCCGTTGTCTATTTTAATGGTGGAACAACATTTGGGTCCCCTTCCACCCACTTAAAGATAATTTAAGACCAAATTAAGTAACCCCACCCCCATTTTTTTTTTCAATACAAGATTAGCTATATGAAGACGCATTGAGTTGTGTATAAATTGTAACTTAAGTTGTTTAATAGGATTTTAAATAATGGCACACTTGTGAGCCATCTTATAGTTGATATTCCATACATGGTTGACCAACACAGAGTGAAGACAGGTTGATTTACATACCTAGTTTGCTGGATGTGGATATCCTAAAGAGATATTTCAGACTCCTATCACAATCGACCCCAGGTAATCAACAGGGTCCTGATGTAGCCTACAAACAAACTGCTACGGCTATATGGCTGGGAAAGCATACTGGAATACGAGTAAGAACACCTAATAGGAAGTAGGAATAGTTATTCAATATCAGAGCCCTCATGTCCACAAATTGATATGTAGTCAAATGTGTAAAAGGAAAATGTAAAAAATAAGAGTCATTAGCAAGGTCTAAAAAAAAAACACATAATTTAATGTAATAAAAAAAAAAGGTCAAACCCTACAGAGCCTACATGCATTGGCTGTGGGTAGACTACATATTCTTTAACCATTTACCCACCTGAGAGTAAGGGAAAAACTGTTACAGTAGATGCCATGTAACTAAAGGATCAAGATGATGTTCCTTTAACAACCTGTAAATAAACTTGAGGAAGCCTGGTTAAATAATAAGTAAAGTAAACTAAGCTAAGTGGTATAACGTTTTATTTAAAATGAACATACATAAGCATACCAAAGTTTTTTAACAGTAGGTTTTGTTCTCCAGACATGAAAGTATACAATATACATTAGATATTGCTACAGGTAAATGAAAAATGAACAATATTTAGACTGAAACTATGACTATTTGTGAGGAGAGTTTGAGTACAGTGGGAGGAAACAAAAACTGGATCCTGCAGTATCACGTTCCCGCCTTTTGCTGAATGGCCAAAGTAATAAATTCATACAAGTTGGATGTAATTTTCAGTATGACAAACTATGAAATCCAGAACCACAAGACATGCCTTCTCATCCTCGTACATTGAAAAGTGAACTCCACAACATAAATCGAATTGCTTTAAAATGCAAATATAAGGATAATCAGGAAAACAATCCTACATCGGAATTTGCAAAACAACGAATATCGCAAATAAAAAATAATATTCAACTCTAAACGACAACTACACGCATTCGCGTGGGTACATAATAAAAAAAGGGATCGCTGTATGTTTATTCTTCATTAACATGTCCTAGTTGAACGGCAACAGCTGCTCGTTATTATCAGGTTTTCTGGGAAGTGACCTTCCTACCTGTTGGGGGTTGGGAGGTCTGGTGATTATGGGGTCTCTGTGTCCGTGTGCCATTGTTGGATTCACGGCATTTCACGAATTTGATTTTGGTGTCCAAATCCTGGAGGTAATTGATGGCAGTGGATGGGGTGGTTGGATTAGTATCCGCCGCCTCCGTAGCCCCCTCGTGGGTATCCACCGCCGCCTCCCCCTCCTCCTCCGCCTCCTCTGGTGTAGGGAGCCGCGCTCCTCTGCTGCCCGCCGAAAGGTGGCCCTTTCATGGGCCCGTAGCCGGAAGAATGCTGACCATACCCGCTGCCGAACTCGTTGTAGCCGTTTCCACCTCCATAGCCACCAGCCTGTTCTCCATAACCACCACCACCCCCATATGGCCCACCACCATAGCCGCCCCCTCCGTATCCTCCGCCGCCGCCATAGCCTCCGCCATTTCCGTAGTTGTAGTTTCCGCTGTAGTCTCTGGCGCCGTAGCCATTTTGATTTCCCCGCATGCCTCGGCCCCCTCTGCCCCTCGGCTGCATCCCGCTCCTGCCGGACGCCTGCATCTCCTGCTTGGTCAGGGCTTTCTTCACCTCAACCTTGTGTCCATTGATGGTGTGGAATTTCACCACCACTGCTTTGTCTGCGGCATCGTGGTCGTTGAAGTAAACAAAGCCGAAGCCCCTCTTCTTGCCTGTCTCCTTCTCCGAGATGACTTCGGCCTTCTCGATTTCACCGTACTGGGAGAAATGCTCGGTCAGGTGTTCCTCCTCGATGTCGTCTTTCAATCCACCGACGAATATTTTCTTAACCTTGGCGAGGGCCTCTGGTTTGTTCGCGTCTTCTCTCGCCACGGCCCTCTTAACCTCCACGCCGCTTCCGTCCACTGTGTGAGGCCTTGCCGCCATTGCTGCGTCGGCCTCCTCGGGTGTCGAGTAGGTCACAAAGCCGAAACAACGGGACCGCTGCAGCTGCTTGTTCACCACCACCACGCAGTCGGTGAGGGAACCGTACTGCTCGAAGTGTTTGCGAAGACCATCGTCGTCGGTGTCAACGTTGAGACCTCCGACAAAAAGTTTGCAAAGCTGGTCAGTCATCGTTGGATTCACGGCTTGCTGAATTACAGAAAACTGTGCACTGACTCGAGATGATGCCGAGAGAAGAACGCAGCTGTATTTATACAGGACGCCGTGTGACGTCAGCTCGCAACACCTCTTCCGGTTCAAGACTCTTTCTTTGGGGGGAACAAAGACCGCAGCTGTTATGTTTAAAAAATAAAAGAAGACTATGTCTAAAACATCTAAACCACCATACCAAAGCACATTGAAATATAAAAGTATGAAAATACATATTTATGAAATACTACACACAATATAAGGACACTACGTTTGAGCCTTATGACGTGCACAGTCGTCGCAGCACGCTTTCTGTGTCACATGTTTTCAAAATTGATCCATTAAACTTTTTAATTTGATGATGTATCAGTTATATCCTTAACCAACACAAATATACGCGTTGGAATTGCAACATTTATGCCTTTATTTCTGCCGATTATCTTCGGATTTGTCCAACACATGAACCCCTCCCCCAGCCGAGTAAGTCAAATGCTATTATGCCTCTGAATGGGGTCATGGCATTTTCCATATTGTTTAAGGCTTATAATGAGCACATAAGTTTAAACCAAAGCCACGTTCTCAACCAAAAATGTAATGCAAAGGTATATCTCGTGTGAAAAAAAGTGTACAATGTGAGCCAGTGCCTTTATGATTGTACATCTTAATTTGAGTAATTAGCTTGGTTAGTGTGAAAAGTCAAAACCAAACTGGCTATTAGTGAACTGGCTTTAAATGTTTAAATGTTAGTAGGTTTATGGCAACATCTACGAATTCAACATGGGATAATTTCTTGGGTTTTTGCAGTCAGGTCTATTCAAAATCATAAAAAATAGAGTTAAAAAAACTAGTTGAACCAGTAGAGCCAGTAGAAAATGAATATAATATAGCCAAAAAAAGTATGTTTCAGCCACCGGCTTATCTGATTTGAGCTGCTCAGATTAGTTTTATGGTTTGAGAGGTTTGGTGAAAATAAACGTTTAAGATGAAACAATGAGCAAGCTTTTTTCACAATTTTCTAAACATTATAATCAATTGTTTAATAACGGGAAAATTAATTGATAACCGCTTGCCGCCTCCCCAAAAACCCCATGTTGGAAGACAATTCTTAGTCAATTCAATTCAAAGTCAAGGTTTAGTTTTACCAGATATAAAGGAACACTTGTACTGCCAAATCTCATTTTAAGTGCCTAGTTCTTTTGTCTTGCTTATGTGTTTACATGAAATCCATGTTACAGAGAAAGGATTCGACCCTACAGTTAATTACCATCTGTAAGAGTGCTTTACACTGCTAGACCAAAACAGACTGCTGACCTCTTCAGATCATGGAGATGAAGTTTCAGGTGAAAGACACAACACTTGGTTTCATTTCCATGTCAACAAAATATGCATTGAATCGTTAATCTCGTCACACCCAACAGGGTTCATGGTAATGCTGCTCTAAGAACCGACCGAGCAAAGGAGAAAAATAATGAAGGACTGAAAACAAAGTTCACTGAAATCTTTATGAGGCATGTTGCTCATGAAACAATCCCTTTATCTATTCTACCAACACAAACACACAGGACAGTCTGTGTCGTTTACAGATACACTTCCAAATCATTTATGGACACAAATGAGGCAACTTTTGGTTTGTTGAAAGAAAAAAAAATGGAAGAAATGATTGACCAAAAGACTGATCAACATAAAACTGCATTTTTGGATTTCTTAATGTGGGTGTTTACGGGTAGATTCTTCACAATTTGTGCATTAGTTGTCACTTGAGTCCAAATTTGTGTACATCTAGGTCCGATCACATATCCATCCGTCATCTACATTAGGTTTTTAAAGTCATAGAGAAAAAATATCAGCAGTGTCTCTTTATTGTTGGAAAAATAGTTATGAAATTAAAACTATTTGGGAAATGTTGAATCAACTTAACACATCTAGGGTTTTATCTTTAAACAAACATACATATGTTAAGTTCACAGAAACACACTTTTCTGTTAGGTGAAGTAATGAGACATTTGTTGAAATTAACTAAAAATGGCAAACCAAACACAAAAAAGGAAGACGATTTGCTCAATTTAAAAAAAACATCAAAGATGGTTGTCTTGTTTGAATGTTGTGTAAACTTCATTATGGTAGTAAATACACCGTAATCAATGTATACAAGTTTGTTGAATAATGAAAGCTTCCTCAGAAGTGAGAAGTCTTACTGAACATCCAATTTGAGGTAAACGCCACCAAAAAAAGACTTGTTCATTTCACACAGCAATCTTTGTAGAAAGTTAATCTTTGTCGTTGTAACTTGTCCCCAAAACCTCTGAATTTACACACGAGGATGATCAATTCCTATCTAATATTTACATTTGAAAAGAAGCCTACAGCGGCCCAAATCAGGCTCCGGTTCACACAACCAAGGGGGATGAAATGCAAAGAAAGTAGGCAGTTTAGTAGAGGCATTTAACATATATCCCCCCAACAATCCACCCAACAACATGGCTAGAAGACAAAGGATGTCAACAGCATGCATTACAGAACGAGATGCTACCACACGAACAGGAGGCAGACATGTTTGTTTTGCCCAAAAGTCATGTGTTTATATGGATAGCCGGTTATCACAGACCGGCCACATGTTATTTTAGTAACAAAAAAACACAGTCAAAATAACCTCAACAAGGTTTTTTATTTGTTGTAATAAAATCAAACGTCTAACTAGCATCCCCTCAGTCCTTGTTCTGTACATTTCACAGCGAGGGCCTTTGAGATCATGACGATGTGGATAGTCCATGTGCTTCAATGAATCAGATCATTCAACCTCTTTCTCAGAGTCTGAAAGGAGAGGATCCCAGTTTCTGTGTGATAAAATAAAAGGAAGAAAGAAACTGAAGAACTTGAGATGATCATTTTTGAGGAGCGGGGGGAGGGAGGGGGTAGTGACAAATGCCGGGTGTGTCTGGGAGGGTGGGGGGGTTTCTGGATCACAGCTCCACAGGTGGCCCTCTGAGTAAGCCAGGTGATGAACGATGTATGCGATCATGTTAATCTTCAGACGGGTTATCTGGGTGATCACATGATGTAGACCTTCTCAGCCTGAGAGAAGTTGAAGACTTCTTTGGTTCTGGGACACACCACTTTGTCGTCTTGGCGGATGGACAAAAGGGACTGAAAGAGATACGAAGCAGACAGAAAACAAATGAGAAAGAACAACAAACATCCATTACTTTTCTTGCTCCCGTTATTCAATTAAAAAAGGGATCACCCAGAATATAAAAATATATGTTTTCCTCATACCTGTAGTGCCATTCATGTGTTGGAACCTTCCTTCTCATTCATATAATGGAACTTTATGGCACTTGGCTTGAGGTGTTGAACAACCGTCACTTTCCACATATAATGAACTCAAGATATTCAAAATATTTTGTGAACTATTTGTTGTTTCTAACCAACGACACCCCCAAGACAAAAGCTGTCATGAGTAGATGCACGCTTTGTTCTTCACGCTTATTTTGTTGGCGGGTGTAGTTGGATGGAAATAAAATAGTTCCTAAATCTAACCGTTCACAATGTCTGTGGAAATTGGAGACATTGCTGTTCAGTTTTTCAAATGTTTTTTTCAAACTTTGAGCAACACATCAGACATCTCTACGTCAGATAACTCCAACACTTTCTTTATACCCCAAAACTATTTAAATTGATAAATAGCTACTCAGGTGAGAGGCAAACAAGGCATTTTTATTATGGGGTGAATTGATGTGAGTTACTATAGGCCAAACTAGCTTTATCTCATGATCCCTGTACTTTAAGATCTACCGTCACTTTCCACATATAATGAACTCAAGATATTCAAATTATTTTGTGAACTATTTGTTGTTTCTAACCAACTACACCCCCAAGACAAAAGCTGTCATGTGTAGATGCACTCTTTGTTCTTCACGCTTATTTTGTTGGCGGGTGTAGTTAGATAGAAATGCAATGTACTCACATTGTAACCATAGACATATCCATTAGGCAGCATCATCGGGGGGTTGTTTTCGTTCATGACCTCCCCAGAGATCTTACACACTAGTCTGGAGTTGGCGCAGTGGGCCATGGGAAGCGGCTGGGCCAACTTGTTGAGGGATTTACTGCACACCGGGCAGTCTGGGTTCTTAGAGGTACCGTCCTCCTTGTAGCACTGACTGGAACGCGCATTAAGGTTAAGGAAAATAAGTGAAATCATTTCTGAATACACAATGTTACCATGGGTGTCAGTAGACAGGCTCAGAGGAAAGAAACATCAAAAACAATTTAGAAAGCGTCGAGCACTTCCATTTTGATTAGACAGTGGAGTCAAAGAGAAAAGGTCATGTGTTTTCAAGACTTAATTTGATAACATTTAAACTTACATTATAACCTTAGTGGTGGCATGGATGTATAATAAGAACTGGATACAGCGAACGAGGAGGGGCCTCGTTCATTCCTATGAGAGTTGCTCATTGGCGCATGAAGAGAAAATGGCCCAACCTTTGAGAGAGCGAAACGTCACGAAAGTATTCATATAATCCGTTCTTATTGTGCATCCATGGTAAAGGTAAAACTCATGTAGTACTGAACACGTCACATGAACGTGCCGGACTGCGCGGTCCCGTGGGTTAGATGCGCGTTCATAATGGCGAGGAAAATAACTCTCCG